TAATTATTAACAATAGAACTCCCGAGCAAAGCTTCACTGACTAGGTGGCGGGAAGAAGATCTCTTCCCCCTTCCTCTTCGAGCTGAACTTCTGCTCGACTTCAACCGGAACATTAAAAGCCGCCTGAAGCACCTCCGACGACAGCGCCTTCCACACCGAAGTCCTTCCCGCCAAATGCGTGAAAATCGGGCTGCAAAAACCAGAATTCAATATTTTTTCAACTCTCAAGAACTCAATAAACACAATTATTCATGTGTAGTAATAATTGTAACAAAAAATAAATAAATAAATAAATAAAATCTTTCAACTCACTTAGGAGTAGTTATGATGGAGAACCAGTCCATGCCATCAGGGTCCGCAATCTTCGAGACCACAAAGAACCTGGGCACAATAAACAGATTCCCAGCCTTAATAGTAGTCTCCAAAACCCTCTTCCCATCAACTCCCACGACCTGTACACGCCCACTACCCCTCACAATGTAAGTCACCTGCAGAGCCGAATCACACGAAAAGCCGGGAGAACACATTGCACTGCCATTCAGTTTAACAAGGTCTGCCCCAAGCCCAACTTCCCCAACTAGAGGCAAATTCTTGGTGTTCAAAACAACTACCTTGCCCCCACCTTTGATGTCCACGTCAAGTGGGGCCTCTTCGCAGTTGAGGGCCATGCCGTTATAATGCTCCTTATTGGGCTCGGGGAGCTTTGTGTTTGGGCCGAGCTTGATTATGCCGTGGCCATGCTGGCTGGAGACTAGGGCTTTGGCGGTGGGCTCGTCGACGTCCCAGGCCCGGCTGACAAACTCGGTGGAGAAGCCCGTGAAGATGCCTTTGGGGCCCGTGAGGAAGAAGTCGGTGAAGGAGCCGCGTTTGTGGGCTTTGGAGGTGTCGCCAAGGAAGAGGATGAGTAGCTCGGTGTCTTCCTTGTTGTGGTACCATGTTACGACGCCGAAGGGGAGGGCTATGGCGTCGCCCTTTTTTATTGGGAGCAGCTTTTCTTCTTTCTCTGGTAGGATGATGCCGGCCACTCCACTGCCTGGGAAAATGGATCGGGCAATTTATCGAGCATGATGAGTGCAACATTTTCAGTAGCAGGAAAT